TGAAGGAAGTGTGCAGATCTGTTACTTCTGTAAAAGTATCACTACCACACTGTGAAAATACTCCACTACAGGTAAAAATCCTGCATTAAAAACCTTACTTAAGTGAAAGTATGTAAGTATTATGAGCAAAATGTACACATCAAAAGTAACAGAATATGGGTCCCTGACAGTGTTTTACTATCATATATGAAGTATATGCTGCATTTAACTGCTGTAGTTTTAACTAGTTTATATACTGCTGGTTAGTTTAATCTACAGCAATCCACCATATTCTGTAAGATGTGTGTAAAAATGCCAGCCTTCTATCTCTTACAGAAAACAAGAAGACTTATCAATACTCTCTCCAAACCTTAAAAAAAATTGACTCTTGTTGGCATGATTGTGGGCAAGTGGGTACTTTAATCCACACACGGTGGCGTGTGGATTAAAGTACTAAATCCTGCTGGACAGAAGTGATTAACTCACTATCTCCATCTATGAATATAAATCCTGCTGTTTGTCTTGTTATTGTTTTGGGGTCCAGGGCTGCACAGCTGATTTCAGTCAGTGTGTGTATATATGTATATATATATATATATCAACAACAGTGGGATGGATTGCGATCTTTAGTACTTTAGTACTTTGTTTTCTTTGTGATCCTGAACCTGAGATAATTTTATACCTGACGTGTAAATCCTCCTACAGGTCGTCAGTTCAGTCACATAGTTGTTCATTTGTGCATTTTTTTATATATTTTGTATTATTACTTTTACTGATTAACCTCTATAAACACTCTCTTCTCTGACCTGCTGTGCTTTCAGGACTGGTATGATCAGGGTACGCCTGCTGTATTCTGGGTATCAGGATTCTTCTTCACCCAGGCCTTCCTCACAGGCAGCCAGCAGAACTATGCCAGGAAACACACCGTCCCTATTGACTTGCTCGGCTTTGACTTTGAGGTCCTGGACGACAAACAATACAAACGGGCCCCAGAGGACGGTAGGATGCTCACAGGGCTGGTAGAGAAGATAGGCTGAGAAAGGGTGTGTTTAGACAGAAGGAAGGATGGTAGTTTAAAAGTAAAAGCAGGATATTAGGGTAGCTTTTGATAGGATAAAATGGCCCTATTCAGCAAAACACCCCCTGGTTTAATGAATGTAGAGAAAAAGACACCAGGAAGATACAGAGAGCACTTGAAGAGAGAGAGAGAGAGAGTCAGAAAGATAAAAAAAAAGGTTCAAGGGGATAAAAAGTGAGGTTTCAAAGCAGAATGTGAAATAAGCAGTGGGTGGAAGAGAAGTAACAAACATAAAAACTGACATTAGGCTGACTGAATATAAGAGAGGCAGAGTATAAAGTGAGAAAGTAAGTTAAAGCAAAGCCTCCACCGCCTCTCGTCTGCATGCAGGCCTGCGTCAGCCCCACGCTGTGCCTCCAGCTCTGCTGTGAGATTCTCAGTCAAAGTCTCTCATAAAGCCTCATCCTCAATCAGTCCCCAGCCGGGTCCCGTCACACTAACACAGCCTATACAACCAAGCCACAAATCTGTGTTTGTGCATTTGGGTGTGTGTTACTGACAAGATGCCAACAGCCAGCTATCTCTAAATCCCCCGCACTATTGATAGAAGAGCTCACATTCTTTATAAAAAGACAGTGTTATGGCACAGAGGTCAGTTGCTGCAGCTTGATTCATAAAGTTTTATGGCTGCTGGAAGAGCCAATATGCATTGTAGTCACAAGGCAGAAGGTAGTTGGCGGTGTTAATATCATACTAACACTAACCTTTACCTCTGTCTCTGTGTTTGTGTGTCACACTCAGGTGTGTACATTAATGGCCTGTACCTTGATGGCGCCCGCTGGGACAGGAAGACCAAACTTCTTGCTGAGTCCTACCCCAAAGTGCTGCATGACTCCATGCCTGTGGTGAGGAGCACGCATATATAACACTAACTCTACTTTTTTTTTACCACTTCCTTCATTCAGCCTGACATTGTGTTCATGTTTGCAGTTTCCTTTTATTTGAGTCAGGAAAAACTTGTATTTGACAGCATGGCTCTGTTCTGGGACCCTTGCCCTTCTGTTCCCCCCCCACAGAACAGAGCAGGCATCAATGACAACAGATAAGACACTGATTAAATCAGATACAGCATAAAAGGAGGAGTTTGGTTAGAGGCAGGTTGCAAAGCGGCTTGCAAAGGAAGGCAGGCTAAAGCTGCTAAAATAAGGCATCCTGTATGATATTTGCCAAGAGGATGCTTCGGAGGGAGCTCAGCTGAGGGACCGGACTGAGACTGACGGACACTACTGGTCCTTTAAAGTGCTCCATAAACTGCTGCCAGTCACCAGGATTTGATTTCCCCAAGTGGGTCCTGATGATGCAGGATGACAGTTGCCAAAACTGTCCATTTAACAGTCAACTGTCAGTCTGCATAACTTCATGTTTATATGTGTGAACATTGTATCATGTGTGAATACACCCTGAGATACATTTTTAATCCTTCGTGGAATCAAGAAACCCCCCCGAGGTTTGATTTTTACTTTTTCTCTTGATCAGATGTTGGTACTTTAATATCTCTTGTACGATTGGGATTGGAATATTAGTTGATATAAGAGTTATATCCAATGTGTGTGGGTTTACATTTTCTATATTGTTATGGTTTTACTCCTCATTGTGGGAAACTATTAAGCCTTAGTGTATAAGATAACTAGACAATTTAGGGTGAATAACACTGCAGGCAACCAGTCAAAAAAAAAAAAAATGTTGCATAACATATTCTTACATAAAGTTTGAGGGGAGGAGGTTTATTGATTCTGCTCCTGTGAATCCCTCAGGATGTCAAAAGAGAGGAAAGATAATATCTATCACATATCACATTATAAAAAAATGGGGCAGATTCCATCATTATTCAGCTTGTAAACTCCTACGAGGCGGCTGAGACCAATATTGTGAGTCTCCGAGGAGAATGTGAACAACCGTCATACAGTAAGCTGCAGCTCTACCCAGGAGGATGTTCACAGCTCCTTGTTCTCTGGACCTGAAACTGAGCAGCAGCATTCTGCCTGTAGGAAACCTAGCTCTCTCATCCTTTTATTAATTAACAGAGCTTGATGTGTTATATGAAAGCAGACTGACAGAGTGATGGAAACAGAGTGCCAGTGGCAGAGAGCGACGACGACTGATCAAGTTTTTTTTTTATTCTTTTTTTTTTTCTCTCCCTCTGTTCTCTCTTCTCCACATTCAGTGATTATGAATAATGCACAAGACTGACTTTTAATATTCAGACATTTCAGGGCAAGTTATTAACAGAATCAGTTTTTGACAAGAGCGGAACGTAATTAAAAATGTGTTTATTATTTGTGTGTGTGTTGGGGTGTGGGGGGGGGAGGGGGCTGCCGTGGCTTTGAAATGCAAATCCTAACCGAGACGCCCGTTATGGAACTAGATGAGTACTTTTCTGGCCACAACTCAACAAACTGTTTTTGTTTTTTCTTTTGAGTAGCCCAGTTTATCCCTTTTGCATAACCAAGACTTCTTAATAGCCCAAGGGGGACTCTTGCTCGTTAATACTATTGTTGTATAAGTTTATGTCCCCAAAGTTCAAATTTGTAAGTTAATGTTTGGATGAAAAAGTGAAGATCCAGATTAGTTTCCGCTGTGTTTCTTGTGTAGCTTTCTGTCCTGACCGTTGAGCTTTAAAGGACCAGTGTGCAGGATTTAGTGGCGTCCGTTGCTTAGCCTCCTCTTCCAAGCGTAAAGAAGAAACTAGGGTGGCCGTGAAAGGTCTGCCCCTATCTAGAGGCAGTGTTTGGTTTGTCTCTTCTTGAAGGCAATCGGCAGCGTCTATAGATAAAAGTTCCTATATTCAGGTGATTATACACAAATGAAGATATATAGATATAGATCCTCCTAAATGTTACACACTGGCCCTTTAAGAACCTCACACAACCCCTAAAAACTAATCTAAAAACCTGAACTATCCCTTTAACTTTGTTGCTCGTCAGCAGAGGCGTACAGAATTTAATTTGCCAGTTTAATTAATTCCACAAGTCAAATGTTCTAAATGTAAAACAGCCTCTAAACAACAGTGACTGGTTGCTAAAGTAGCTAATGGAGGTAGAGTACGCAAATGTGGCAGCCAAAATGTTACAGTGACCGCTCACTGTCTCCTCTCTCTCTGTCAGATGTGGTTGAAGCCTGTCAAACGACAGGACATTCCCCAGAGGATGTGTTACGTGGTGCCCGTCTACAAGACCAGCGAGCGGCGTGGCACCCTGTCCACCACCGGCCACTCCACCAATTATGTCATCGCCATGACGCTCAACTCCGACGTGCCTGCCGAACACTGGATCAGACGAGGGGTCGCGCTGCTCTGCCAGCTTAGTTCCTAGTCTCGGTTTCTTTTTTTTCCTCTGAATTTAAAAAGAGGACAGAGTCTCTCGTTTGTGCATTACATAAAAATATAATTGCATATAACAATGACCACTAGTTCTTTGTATCAGAGTACCAGTTTGAAACAATGGGCCCTGGTTCTGTCGTTACTGCGTCAATGAAAGAGAGCGAGAGAGGTAGAACATGTGAGAGTTGGTGTATGAGGCAACAGTAATGCATCCAGACATTACAGCAGCCACATTACCGGTAATTGATTTTACTATGTTGTATTTTGTTTCAGCCGAGCTTGATTGCAGGAATACACTCAGACCGGGCTGATAACTTCCATTATGCACAGCTAGCGAGCTATGACAGCTCCTCCAGCAGCTGTGGCACTGCAGTAACTCAACCGCACCTTGTACATTTATTTGGTTTCTAAATGTTCGCATCGTTCACTGAGCCTTCGCATTTATTCAAGAATCAGCTTAGCTAAACCTGCTGATCTGGGAACGCAGACTGAAGCAGGAGAGGAGCGGAGAGAGAGGCGGAGGAATGTTACTGATGGATGTGTTATGCTGCTGTAGTTTCACAGCTGTACACCAGTTTGTCTCTGTAACGTTATGCCAGTAGCGTCAGAGATCAGGAGTCCAGGATCTTTTCAGAGTTTATTTTCCTTTCGTAATGGGGAGAATGCACAGACAGGCAAACAGCAAGGATGTCACATTTTGCATTTTATATCCAGATTACTAAACAAATATACATACAACAAAGCAAAAATCAAAACAATCTTCATTTTACAGACAATTTTTGCCCAATAAACAGTGAAGAAACTTGTTCTTTGGGGCATAGTGTCTATAAGTGTATATAACTCTTATTGAACAGCTGACAGTACAGTCTGGATTTAAAGTTTACAGATAAGACAGAAACTGAAAAGAGAAATACTGTTTTATAAAAATGACCCCTAATCTTTTAAAACTACAAATAACACAATCAGAGTTAATGTTGTAGGAAGCAACCGAATAAATGTCAAATAAACTTGAACGTTGAATGAAAATACATTCTGGTTTGTTTAACCATTGTGTGCACCGACATTAAATATGAACATAAGATTAAATAATAAAATGTAAAAAGAGATAACTGATACGAATAAGTTAAAAAAAAAAAAAAAAGGCCCATAACACCAGTTACACTACACCCCAAAGAGTTCTTCATGATCTTCACACAGTTAATTTAAAAAGTAACAAAGGTTGTCAGTATTTTAACTTTGCAGTACAAAGAATGAAAATCAAATTTACACTCGACACAATGTCTGTACCGTTTCACTCATGCTTCATGCATGATTCAGTCAGGTCAATGACATGAGTTCAATGTGACTGACGAACGATGATTCACAGCCAGTTAAGACGTAAAGACGATGGATGTCACACAGTGACAGGATAAATGAAGCCACACACTTTTATCTGTGTGCTCCAGCAGCTGAAGCTAGGCTAGCTAGCTTAGCACGGTAGCCGCAAAACCAGCCAATGGAATGTCAGGGGGGTCGGGGGTCAGGGGTCGGGGGGTCGGGGGGGATAAGTATCAAACATCAGCCACTGAAAATCCACACTGGGGGCCACTTTTGGCACAGTCAGCAGAGTGATTATAATGTACACCCTCAGAAACATATGTGAGGAATGCTTGTGAAGAAACAAATGTTAATAATATTAATAATAATAATAATAATAATAATAATAATAATAATGATGATAATTTTTGTCCCGTGGTTTGATAACCTCGGGTTGAACATCCATTACAAGTGCAGGGAATGTGGTCATTTGAAAGCATACAGTATATTGTTGCTCTGTCTGTCTCAAGAGATTGTCACATAGTGAATTTATTTCTTTACGGAAGTACTTTAAAAACTATTATTTAGGAACAAAATTTCTGCTTTTAGCTGCTCAACTACTGACACTATAAAGACCCGGTGTATTAATAGTACATTAAAAAAAAACAAACTGATTCAATGTCCACTGCAGGGCGCTCCGTTGGGACAAAGCACCTTTTAGGAACTCGAAGAGGCACCCTAAATCAATCTAGTAAACTACAACACTTTTTCATGAAGACAAGAATAACTAGTTTTTCTGAATTCACATTTTGAAGCTGTTGATTCTTTTAAAGAAACATTATAAAATAAAAGGCCTAACAAGGATATGTCTCCTTTTGGCTACAGATTGTCAAACCCATAAAAAAAAACAATTGGTCAGACATTTGTGACATCTAGTTCCTAAACAAAAAAAACCAAACACTGATAAGTCCTAAATGCTAATCTGTAAAGGCTTTGGCAGCTGTGTTAGCTTTCACTATGAACTACAAAGGCTTAATAATCCCGAAGATCAAATTAGACGGTAAAATATAACTCGGAAGTAATAAATGGAGAAAAGTTGTAGCAAAAAAAAAGAAAAACACTGATAAGTTTAGACAGTCTGCGACACAAAGTCAGGGGAACACTTTCCTACCCCGACGCTGCAGCTGTGGACACGTTTTTTGCAGGTGAAGCAAAAAAAGCTAAAAAAAAAAAAAAAGGGGGTTGATTCCAGATGTTGCAGCTAGCTCCCCACCTCTTTAAGGACACTGTGCGACTGTGTGTGTGTGTGTGTGTGTGTGTGTGTGTGTGTGGGGCGCTGCTCCAGTGGCCGGGGCTTGGCACAGAGAGACACGCGGGATGTTTGATACCCAGCGTGATGACATCAACAGCTGATGATGGATGCCGCGTGGAGAACACACACCACAGATGTACGAGACATGGATGATGGGACACAGCACAGACTGGGTAAGAGACAAGGAGGTTGCGGGGCGGCGGGGGGGGGGGGGTTAGGGTACGACGACAACACGCTAACAACAGGTGATGATGCATAGGCGGTGAGCTGTTGGGCTGTGACAGCTGCCTCTCTGCAGGAACACGCTTCCTGCACCACCTCACTATCTACAGCTCTTACTATTTATTTATTTATTTTTAAAGATGGAGTTTACTGGTTCACAGCAGAGAAGGTGTTTTTTCGGGGTTGGAGTGCAGCCTCGCTCTTCTTTCCTTCGGCCTTTTTGTTGTTGTTTGTTTGCTTCACAGGGAGCAGACAGATTGGAGCTGACAGAGGAGAGGTGATGGAGGAGCAGAGTGTAAACATCACTGGCAGAGTCACGAGATATGCATAAACTACCGCAGCTTGTTTGGAATGGAGGCACGGGCCATGAATGAGACTCACATCGCATGCAAGATTGGGCCGTTACATCGCAAACAAAGCACGTTAAGGCCAAGAAGAACAATATTGATACATCCAGCTCTCCCCCCTCCCTCCCTTCCTTCGTATCCCAGCACCCCGGCTCTCTCCTTGAACTAAAAGCCAAAATCGAAAACGATTTGGTCCTCGAAGATGGCGATGAGCAGCATGATGCCGAACCCGGTCAGCAGGCCCAGGTTCTGCAGGATAAAGTGTCCCAGCTGGCAGCGCTTGTGGTCCTCGCTGTCCCCGTGAAGCATTTCTGGCAGCTATGAAAGAGACAAAGTTACCAGTTGGGATCAAAAACAGACTTTACTGGAATTAGCATTGCAGATCGGGAGGGAGAGGAGAGAGAGAGAGAGAGAGAAGAGGATTGCCCGTTGTGGGAGAGAGGAGGCAGTGAAAGTTAAGCTGATGTTGTTGGGGGACAATTATCACTCTGGGGCTGCTCGAGTGCGGCGTGCCAACTTACCATATCCACCAGAGCCACATAAAGGAACATGCCAGCTGTGATGGCGAAGATCCAGCTGGTGACATTGTGTGTGTACTGGCCCACAGCTGTGCCAATCACCATGCCAACGTAAGCCATGAGGGCGGACAGCAGATTGTAGACAATGGCCTGCTTCACTGACATCCCCGCTTTCAGCAGCACTGCAAAGTCACCTGTGAGCCAGGAGAGACACACTCATTTAAACACCATTAAAGCCCCCCCCCCACCCCGCATCCATCCGCCTCTTCTTCCTCGACACGTGTCCTCAACATGCGACACTCGTGTCTCCCAACTTCTTTGTGAATGACTGTGTTCGTTCGCAGGCTGTTCATGAAAGGTGGGAAGTGACAGTGTAAAGCTGCAGCGGTGACAGCAGTGTGTCCAATTTACTAAAAAAGCGACATGCACTTTGCTGCATATAAAAACCCTCGGTGAATAGCTTGGCACGTGTCATGCTGTGTACTTTTCCCGCTCTGTTGTGACTCTGTGATGAGGTGAAGTTGTTCAAAGCAAACTCCCCTCCATACATCTGCCACTGCTACCTCTGTCTTTAAAGCAGGTGAAAACAAACCAGGAGCTGCTCTTTCCAAGAAATATGTCTTTAACTCCCTTTTGATACACTTATGATTGCATATGCATGCCGTAGCCTCTCTACCCTCTTCAATCATTGCCGGGCCAAATGCGGGAAGAGGCCCAAGTCTCAGCGGAAACGCCCTGGATTTGGAGAGAGAGATGAATACTGAGAAGGGGGTGGCCTACATTTCCTGCACCGCGTAACAAGCGGCCTCTTTTCCTTGCTAATTACCACAATGAATATATTACCACTCTGCTCTCATCCATCAATCAAACCCAGAGAAAAGGGGAGGAGGGGGGGTTAAAGAGAGACAGTCCGCGCACACCTCACTTCAATGGCCCTTTTTTTTTCTCTCTCCTCTCTTCAACTTACTCTGGCGTTTCCTGCCTCCCCGGTTCCAAACCGCCAGACACTCAGACACGCCTGCCGCCGCCTCATCTACCGCAATTAACACACCCATCACTGCCAATTAGCTTCACTCTGGGTGGTTAAAGAACCCTCATAATCATCATCTTTGCCATCCAGCTGCCAGTCGGGGGACGGCTTTTGTGTTCAAGAGGAGCTGAGAGGTGCACTTGTCAAACTGCTGGGTTTGTCTGACAAGCGGCCCTACAGGGGTGAAGGCATGACTGCAAGTGCTCCTGAAGAACGGGCGCAGAATCAACAGGAAATGTGAAATTACACGGGGAGAGACTGATCTTGCAAGTCTTCCCACGTCGCTTGAGACAGGACTTGTGCTGCAGTTAACCATCTGGAAACTCGAGTACAACGGAGTAAAAATAGCAATAAAAAAGGACAGAAATGTTGGAGCAGAATCAAAAAGCTCTTCTCTCACAGAACTGACGGTCTCACGCACACGGCAGATTTTTGGGCAATTAAAACAGCTAAATGCTACACATCACAGGCTTTAAAAACAGGGTTCCTGCAGTGTTAGTTTAACCCAAATGTGTTACATCCCTCTTCTTTCACATAGATGCTTTTAACAAGGCAGATTGTTTCCTCTTTTTCCCCTAAACACAACAATAAGACAGGATGCTAGTCAACCCAAGAGGGAGCAGGCAGACAAACGTAAGCTATTTTTCACTGGTTCACACTCCACTGTAATTGACACTACTCTATTCATCAAGCACACAAACGAGGCATGGAAACTGCACCGCGACAAGACACATCATTAGCACTGATCTGCTGTGGATGGCCCCATTGTCTGTCTTCCTCACCCCACTCTCGCCACCTCTTCCTCTCGCTACAAACAAACAGGCCCCTCTGCCTATAGAGCACTTGAATTTAAAGAAAAAAAGAGCACCACACTGAAATAAAAAAAAAAACAAACATCCACAGTTACTAAATCAAAAAGGGTCCTCGGAGAGAGAACGGATCTGAATGCAAATGAACGCACCAGCAGCTGCACCGTCTCGGAGACTTGACTGTATTGAACAATGTGTGCCAGGCATGGTACATCATCCTCACTGACAGACATATTGACAAGCCATTTCGCTGCTGTAAGACAAAAGCTATTAATCTGTGGGGGGGGGTACATTTTTCTGGAATGAAGAGAAGAGTGATGATTATTGACACCACTGGGGTATTTAAGAGGGGTCGTGAGACTAACTCAGATTTAAGTTTCGGTTCAAGTAAGAAAAAAGAGCTGATTATGCGAACTGACTACAAGGCCGTCACAAAACAGCTTTGTTCTCCTTGTTAAACAAATGAAGTGTGCAGTGTCTCGTGTGTAATCAGTAAATGACTGGCTTTGTTTAGTTTGGTTTTTTTTCAGTCAGTGCAATCCACTTACCAAGTTCATGAGGTAATTCATGGCAGAAAACAGCCACTGATGTGCTGATGCCTCCCGTCAGGTTTGCGCTGAATGCTGCGCCTGTAGACACGAGTTCAGGAAATGTTAAGGAAGGAAGTTTGACATTTTGGGAAGTATGGCTCGCTCGCTCGCTTTTGTGCTGAAACTCGAGAAGATCGATACCACTCTCTCAAGTCTGTACGCTAAAATGTGAAGCTAGAGCCAATTAGCTTTGCATAAAGACTGGAAACGACTAACCTGGGCAAAGGCACAGTGACTTCCTGGAGTATACTTTAAAAACACAGATAGTCGACCCTTCGTGGTGGCGACAAGCCTCCAGAAAGTCGCCCCTCTAAAACTAGCTGGCTAGCCGTTTCCAGTTTTTGTGCCAAGCCAATCGGCACCGACAAGAAGTTACGACAGAATCAAAGTGAAGGCCAGTGTTTTATCACTCGGGTAATGAATCTGTATTGCACATTGTCACTTTAACAGACTCAATATTGGTTGCTTTGTACATTCTGGCCAATTATCTATGAGCTTATTAGACTTAATATTACTGTGCATCATCTCCATCTAACTAGCAACTCTGAAGTGGACACACATAAAACCCTGAACCTCTCACCTATAGCCATGCCGTCGCTGAAGTTATGCATGCCGTCGCCCATGATGACCATCCAGGCGATGCTGGCTATACCAGCGTCCTTCATCTCCTGGTCTGAGTGGCAGTTCCCACCGTGAGAGTGACCGTGGCCGTGCGAGTGTCCGTGGCCGTGCCGATTGGCCTTGCGTCCGTTCTCTTTGGTGGGTGACGGCGGGTCTTGTTGGGGGTTTGTGGGAGCCAGTGGCGTCTTGTTCGTGGGCGAGTCGGGCGTCTGGAGCTCTGTGAGCTGCGTGTCGTTGTGACCGTTGTCGCAGGAGATGGCTGTGCTGTCGGGGTCTGGAAGAGAGAGGAGGAGATTTTTACAGTGACAGCCACAGAAACAAAGTACTGTAAAAGCCGCATGACTGAACACGTCTTACCTTCACTGAGCGGCTTCAGGTGCAGCCACTCTGCATCTGAGCGACGATTTAACTTGTGATCTGACAACTTCCTACCAATCTTGCCTTCCTCGCTCACCTTCTTCATGCCCTGTGAGCAGAGACATTATTTATGCTCTATGCACAGAAATTCCTCACATACTCAGGGAATATAGCAAACAGAAGCCACTGCTAGTGTTGTTTATCTCACCCCGTGGTCTTTGTAGTGCTTAAACATGCCGATACAGTGTTCGATGATGAAGAGGAGGTAGATGCCGGCCAGCGCCGTTAGACCCTTCCACACTCCATCAAAGGCTGTTACCAGATCTCTGTCGTCGCTCGCCCCGTGCTCGCCGTGGTCATGCTGCCCTTGAGACTGTAGACAGGGTGAGGAACAGAGGACGACGAGGGAGAAAGATGGGAGTGAGGGAGGAGGGTCGCACATTCATCAGTACATACATTTTATTTCCTAGAAGTCACACAGATGGAATCCCTGAAGCCTCTCTTACAGCAGAATGAGTGGAGGATGTTTGATGATCACTGAACATTACGGTGTGCCATGTTGAACCGCCGTGTTTATACAGCAGCCCAGAAGGGACAAAGCAAACACTACACTGCTAGGGGCCACTAAAATCCTACACACTGGTCCTTTATGGTTTGGTCTCCCAGCTCCGGTCAGCTTTCTGCAAATGTATTATGAGAGGTTAATGAAAGATTCAAAGTCTGACCCACACTACCCAGTTGTGATGATCCACATATTTGATGTGGCACAGGCTTTTTACACCGGACGCAACCGGGCTTGGGACAGACAACATCCACAGTGGCCATAATATACAATACAGCAAACAACTTGTAACCATGACAGAGGTGCATGAAGCTGTGAGACAACCCTGACCACTGCTATTGGCTGACTCAATGCTTGAGAAGGAATTGTGGGTAAACATGATTACTGTAGTCCTTATTCTACAAGAGGAATCTCCGCAGTCAACACTGAAGAATCACACTCTGTATAAAATCTGCTTTCAGCTTCTTTACTTTTTTGAATCATCCATCGCTGTGTGTGTGTTCGTGTGTGTGTGTGTGTGTGTGTGTGTGTGTGTGTGTGTGTGTGTGTGTGTGTGTGTGTGTGCCCCCAGTGGGTGGAGAATCTCGAGATTCAACTGCACAAGAGGTTCTTGATCCACTGTACACATGCTGTGTTGCGGCCATCTGTGGCGTACTCACGTGAGGCAGCAGATGAAGGAGAGCGTCGCCACTGAGCGTGCCCACTGCCAGCGCCACCAGGAAAGTGAGCAGGAATTTAAAGCAGGACTGGTTGAGAATGGGTACGAGCACCACGCCCAGTAGAGACAGCAGGCTGATGATGGTGATGGACACAAAACCCCACAGCCACACCCACACTGGAGAGAGACAGACAGACAGCGTTACTTTCTCTATATTTACTATAGAGCAAGGGTCAGGAACCCAGTTTTTTTTTAGCTAAATCCAACGTTTTAGAAATGTAGTCTGACTCTTCGAGGGCTTTCCACAAGGATATGTAATGGGAAAAAGCACCCAGCTATAGAGGGGTGAAGGGTCATTAACCTCTGGCACATTGTAATACCATAATTATAAAGCAATGTATTCATTCTGTTTTCTTCAAGAAGCCTCTCAGTCTATTGATTTCCACTACACTAAAGCATGGATAAAATGTACGATGCTGACATATATAAACATATATATACTTGATCATAGAGGGCATTTTACTGCAGGTAGTCCCATAACATTATATTTAATTTTTAAGACGTTAGTTTGCATAATTGGTCAATGCAAGAAAAAGAATACAACAGTGTTCTTGGATATTTTAAACTGCCTGTTGCCCACAGCTCTTCATGTAACAGCTGAAATTATCCAAAAACACATTGCATTTCCTGTGACTAGACTACTTCATAATAAAACTCCACTTGTGTCTCACCAGTTAAATGCTTTTAAAGTGAAGCTGCAGCAGTAGGAAATATTCGGTTTGCATTAGCAGTAAACTAAAGGAATAAAAGTAGCCGGCTGGATTTAAATGAGTATTCGGCTGTTTTGCTGCTTAAACAAAGTTCTGCTCTTCAACTGTGAAAGCACACAAAAAAAAAAAGATGGAAGAAAGAAACCGAAGCTGTCGCGATTTCAGCTGCATTATTTAGAAGACAGACTACACCAAGAGCTACAGCTTCACTACCATTCGCCTGCTGGCTGAAGGTATTGTCCCCTCCCTGTTCACATGTGAAGGAAACTATCCTCCAGAGGTTTTCAATCCATGTGTCCTTGTGATGACGCACAGACGCCTAAAGCAAGAAATGTGAAGTGACATTTCAGCAGAATTCAACCCGCCCTCATTTTTTATTCAAGGCCGCGCACATGACACATGAAGCAGAAGAGAAAAAGTCAAAGAGGTACACTATCATTAAAACTGTCAGTTCACCTGTCAGCCCAGGACGCGTCTCAAAACAGCACAAGACCGAGCGAGAAAAACTTTATGATTCGTTCATCACAGAGGACAAAATCTTTACCGTCGTATGAAATTCAATGTCACACCAACGCCGGCCGCTAAAGCGAAGCTGGGTCCTTCACTGCTGACATTCAGCTACAGGACATCTATTGACTAGAACGCAGTGTGCATGTAATGCACATCTTACAGGCAGTTGACTTCAGTGGGACATTTCAGCTAATAAATATAGCGCAGGAAGACACAGGAAAGGTCTGCTCCTCACAGATTTAGCAGGTTATTAATGTTCAAAACAATGAAACTCATTTGCTCTATTTGTCAGGGTCAAAGGCTTCAAACCTGGGAAGTACATCGATCAGCCTTAACATTATGACCATTGATAGGTGAAGTGATTTAGACCAATTATCTGGTTATCAGGGCACCTGTCAGTGGGTGGGATGTATCAGGCAGCAAGTGAACATTTTCTCATCTAAGTTGATGTGTTAGAAGCAGGAAAAATGGGCAGCATGAGGATTTGAGTGACTTTGACAAGGGCCAAACTGTGATGGTTAGACGACTGGGTCAGAGCATCTCCAAAACTGCAGCTCTTGTCGGGTGCTCCTGGTCTGCAGTGGTCAGTACCTATCAAAAGTGCTCCAAGGAAGGAAAAGTGGTGAACCAGAGACAGGGTCGTTGATGCACGTGGGGAGCGAAGGCTGGCCCGTGTGGTCCGATCCAACAGACGAGCTACTGTAGCTCAAACTGCTGAAACAGTTAATGCTGGTTCTGATAGAAAGGTGTCAGAACACACAGTGCATCGCAGTTTGTTGCGTTACGGCTCATCGGTGTATATGACCATTACTTAACGCCCAATATATTTTCTTCCTCTAACTGGTAGCACAAACTATTGAGCACTGATGGAGCCCAATTTCTATAAACAAAAGAAGAAAAGCTGCCACCTAGCCAGAGGGGAAAACGACTAAGAACAGTAAAATCACACTGGCAGACGCACTTCCTCTCCTCATCTAATCGGCCCCAGGTGGTGTCGCTTGTGAAGAGATGATCTGAAACATGTCTTATAGCTGACAGAGTGGTCTTTAGAGAGACTGAATCAAGCTGTTACTGTCCCATTAACCAGCTGTAGGATTAAAAAACATCACAAAAAAAGTATCTCCCCGGGCAGTCGTCTCTCCACCCAGAAAACAGGACGCTGGAGTTCCTCCGGGGGGAAATATTTTAACTGAAGAGGAAGGCCCTGATGCTTAAGTGCTGATTACACAGCCACTTGTCATTAGCTTCTGGGAAGCGTTGTACCCAAACCCTGACTCTCACTGCAGGTTTATATGTGTCCACCAAAAAAAAAAAAAAAAAAGCAGGGCATTTGTTTTGATGGTGTTTATCTCCAAAATCTCCCGTAAGTGAGATGTGGCTGTGACTGCGGAGGCCATAGCCTGAATCATAATTCATACCATTTTCATACTCAATCAAACCATTCAGTGAGCCCCTATGTCCTGTGTGGAAGCAGCTACATAAGTTTCGTCTCTCCACCTTTTTATCAGGCCTTTCCTCTTTTTGTCACCTCACAAATAACTGCAGAAAGTATCATTTTGAAGTATTGTTAATGCGCACAAGGCACTTGTCAAAAGTTAGAAATATCCAAGCTGGATTTGTAGTCATTTATATTTGCAGTGTTGTCTGACATTTTTTGAATTTGGACGGTACTTTCAAAGCACATAAACTGATCTTAACTGCTTACAAATCATCATATACATCTGTAAATCTTGTTTTGCTCATTTATTTTGGGCACTACTTCTATAATACTTTTTGAACAATGTGTGCATGTAGCGTATCTGCATACAGCAGACAGCAGGCTGGCCCTCCAGCGCAGTCAGAACAACACCATACTTTTCAACACTGCTGTGGAAAACTTCAGGTTTCTGGGATCTGCTATCTCCCAGGACCTAAAGCAGGCATCCAACATTAACTCCATCAAAAAGCCCAGCAGAGGTGGTTCTTCCTGTGCCAGCTCAGGAGCTGCTGATCCAGTTCTGCAATAACTCAGCCTGCTCTCTGTTCATCCATCACTGTCTGGTTTGGACTGGCCACCAAACAGGACTGGACTACAGCGGACAGTCGGGGCTGCAGAGGAAATCCTTGGTGCCAATCTGCCCTCCATTCAGAACTTATACACGTCCAGAGTCACGAAACATCACTACCGATCCATCACATACCTGGAACAACCTGTTCAAACTTCTCCCCTCTGGTAGGCACTGAAGAACACTGTACGCCAAAACAACCAGACACAGGAACAGTCTCTTCCCACAGGCCATCACTCATCCTCATTCTTCCATTATGGATTATATTTTACAGTTTAAAAGTGCACAGTTTTTCATATCATGCACCATCACTGTCAACATAAATCCTGTATATAAGTATATGTGTAGCATTTAATATTTATTCCAAAGTTGTATTCTTTAAAACTCACATCATAATTATTTGTTTTATTCATATTATTCTTTTTAATTATGTTGTTGGGCATTGGTGTTAATAGTCCCTTTGTTCTTAGGGGTTATATTTATTCCTGTGTTAATTGAGAGCAACAAAAAAACTGATGCAAAATACTTAAATGTGCACACATACTTGGCCAATAAAAGTTGTGTGTAATAAAGAGATAGACATTAGTAACACTGAATAAAATGTGGGTTCAGGATCTGTGGCACTCCTGTATTAAAGTGCCCTATTAGTCTATATTCTAGAGACTACACATACAGTAGATAACAGTAATGTGACAGTTACATAGCTGAGTTTTCCATAAAAGCAAAGGAATGCTGTCAGCTTCATATGTAGAGCAGTAGCCCACACCCATCAGTCTCTGCCAGTTAATCGACTGTGCGTATTGTGGAGAGAGTCTCATCAATAGGAAGGACAAACTGGACAGGCTGAATTCATTTTCTCATCATAGAAGAAGTTGTCTTTAATAACCCCTCACTTTCTCATTTTATTGTTAGCCACCATTTCCAAAGTGCCTTACAAAAGTAAAAGGAGCTCCAGTTGACTGCTTTCTTATTTGTCGCATCAAGCGTAACACCGTTGTAACCCTGAGAGGCAACTGTATATCAGTCAGACAGTTCATCACTGCAGGTCCTTCACACTCACGCAGCTCATCTACTTCTCTATCTCATTACCCTTATGCAGTTGTGTTTATGTGTGTGTGTGTGTGTGTGTGTGTAGATGTGGAGGTGTGCAGGGGGTTGCGGCGGGACGATAGAAGGCGGAGATAAAGGAGCAGAAGAGAGGAGAAGGAGACCCACTGGTCTGTGTCTTCTTTCCAATTACGTATCTCCTGTGAGCCATGGCTCAGAAAAATGGCCCAGGGTGTCGCTTGGGCTCTCCTAATTGGCACAGTGTAAAAAGAGAGGGGAGTGGGGACCAGAAAGAAACCAACTGCAAATTTTCTGAGCTCCCCCGTGGATGCCGGCAGGAGGTAAATAAGAGGTAGCTTCATGGCGTGTGGTGATGCCTGTGGTTCAGTCTTGGTGCACCATTACAGACAATCTAGCGCCTCTAGTTGTCCACTAATGAGGAGCCGTAGCTGCCCTTTTGACTTGTTCGTGCTGTCTTTTTCGCCACCGTTACCATTTTTATGACTGTTTTTAGTGGTGGCACACTGATGCCTGAGAGGAGGAGGGGGGGGCGGTGTGCGTTTAATAATTAAAGATTTAAGAGCCCAGTTAGGGAATTCCTCCAATCTCACACTGGCCGCTGCTTTGACAGTGTTACTTCATGCTGAAGTTCACAAAAGCGACAATAACTTCTGCAGTTAAAATATTTTTTTGTCATAAAAATGCCACTTTCAACCTCTAATTAAAACTAAATTCAGTTTGTGCGGACAATCTTATGATCCACACTTAAAGGTCTGTAGTCTGTTGTTTACAGTGACAGCTCCCAAACTTCCTACTTTGCATAACTTAAATGAAAACTAAAATCCAATTACACTGCAGGTATAATACAGAATATGAGGACAAATGAATTTTTCCTGGTGTAAATGCAGCGTAGCCAGATTGATTATCATGCCGTGTTCACAATGCGTTTTCATTCCAGGTGGCTGTGTGTTCTCTATTCCTTGAGATTTACATTTACATTACCCACTAATCCCACACACACACACACACACACACACACACACACACACACACACACACACACACACAGTACCATAACATCTAAGAAAAAGCTGCCTTTTCTATTGTTTGCTATTCTGGTGTGCAGAAACTGTGATTACTGGTCCTGGATTGATTTATGGCAAACTTTTATGGCTTTATTTCACAACCTGTAACTCATTAACTTTAAAACACTGTGATTTTATGACCTCGCCGTGTTTCAGAGCAGGGCTTAACATTGATTTTCATTCTTTACAGCTGATCTTTCAGCCTCTTTCTGGGGTTTTTTCCTTTCTGAATATAATTACTTCAGGGATTTGAAACACAAACTGAAAGAAGAGAGATTACCGGAAGAAAGACGCCTTTTTCAAACATACATAAGACTGGGGTCCACAAAAAAAGGTCCTTTATTCAATTTCAAAATTTCCAGCATATAATAGGACCACTCGTTTGCTGCCATGGCAACTAAAATTATTCAATAATAAGGACACACACATTGTCGCAGACAAAACTCATGAGTGCTTCAGTTAGGCGAGTGAATGATCCTGATTTGGAGCGTCAATCACATGATGTGCTCTTGTGAGGAGAGCTGGGTGTGATATGGTAAATTGGCTACCTATTTATTCAAACATTAACTTTCTCCAAGTGAATATGCCAAAAAACAAAATGATCTCTTCCTGGTCGGCCCAAAATACACACGCCAAGCTGACTTTTCCACACTATCCTCAGCTCTCTTAATACATTCACTGCCTATCAACTCCCACTGATGGCCATTAGTTATGCATATGCTCATTGGGACTTGTGATTGACTGAAGAATTAATCCATTAAGAATTATGCTAAATAACTTGCTGCATCCACAATCACATCTAAAAATAATCACCATATTTTTCCCCTCATTAGATGGCTGATAACTAGGATAAACCTTCTTCTTGAGCTACGCTACAGTAGTTAAGAGTTTCGGCATTCACAGTCCTGGCTGTCCGGGCTGAGACTCAAGCTGTTTTTTTATTTAATGCCATCCACATTTACGCCTGCAGGTGGATGAACTTCACTGGAGTTTACCTGACACGACCAAAAAATAACCCTGTGTTCGCCCACTGCATCTATCAATGTGCACATGAGCAAGTAATTTAGTCACAGACAGCAAAGCAGTTTTCCAGAAGTGTACAAACATGAATAAGAAACAAGATTTCCTGATTAAAAAGTCATGTGGGTTTGAGAAACCTTTCTAGTATAAAGAAGGGTTAATAACATGTGATTGTGCCGAGATAATTCTGTGGCAGTGTGGTTGTGTACTAAAGTGTTATCAAGATCAAAGATCATAGTTATCAGGGTTGCCATTCTTTGTAATCATACATTTCAAGGACAAATTATTTCAAAATTATGGGCCAACAATTCAAGTATATGCACATATACATATACCAGCCTAACCCAGTACAATACTTTATTAAGACTTCAATGGTTTACCTTATTAGATGGCAGTGGGTATTTAATGCCAGGCACCACTCGGGAATAGGGGTAAAAAAAAATCTTTTATTCCATCATGATGAAACTTTCATTAAATTAAGAGAAGAAATAGGAGATGTCTCAATAAATACGCACTCATTTGCATATCCCTTTTAGATCCAACAAATAAAGTCAGAACTTTTTTGCTTTCTATCAATAACTACATAGCTGGTAATGGTCAGAAGGTTTTGTCAGAATAATTAGTGTTGAAAAACACAACCCCCCCCCAAACATAAAATGCCTCATAAAATAAAAGCTAATTAAAAAAAGCCTCTGACCATTACCCGCTATTTCTTCAAGGAATCGGTATTTAAAATTTGGTAGCTGTATCAATTTAAAAAATGTATCTTGCAGGCCGGATTATATTATATTTTTGGACATCATGTCGCGGGCTGGAGGGAGTGGGATCAAGGGCCGGAAAAGGCCTCAGAGCCGGCGGTTTGACATCCCTGCCTTAGGGTCTCAGCTTTGTTCTCAAATTCCTTAAAGAAACTTGAGCTGACTTATGCCAGTGTTACAATTATGCACTGGTGAGTGTTCACTGCTGCTCTGAATAGCAGAAAATTGGGAGAAAAACTCTTCTATCAATGTACTGAAAATGAGAAGATGGGGCAAACAATGGTGGGAATACCCGGGGGTGGGGGGATCATAGGTACAATGCCTGGTTCACTTAAATTATCATCACTATAAAATATGGCTTGATTAGTTCAAATACACATCCTATTATGCACTCTTCCCCAAGAGAGAATCTCCATCCTGATAGCATCACATTATAATCTCAACGCTTTCCTGTGGCTTCTCGCTTATGAAGATAGCGGTTTTCTCTAGCCAAAGGCACCAAATACAGACAGTCACTTTTTTCACTTTCCTTATCACTATATATATATATATATATTACTCTTAACACTAGTTGTAGCCACAATCAGTTTTCATTATTCTTTGTCATTGGTTATCTTACTATCTCTTGTTTGTTTCTGTTTAAAGAATAAATGCATCACTACAAACTGCTGTGCAAATTAGGTCTGCACGATATGGTAAAAACATCTTATTGCGATTATTTTCACAGATTTTGCGATTGCGATATGAATTACGATTAGTGTGGGAATTATCATTATTGATCACATCACAAATTTAATTTTCACAGAAAAAACTATTAAAATCATGACAATGTGAGATTTTTGGCAGTCTATACTAAACAAACATGTTCTCTTCAATCTAAAGAAAACAAGATTTGTAGGCCAGGACATCTCTTATATTAATTATTATTATATAATATAATGCAGTCTTGTCACACAAAACCTTCATCAGAAAACTACTTCTGTAATTTGCATATTGCACTTGGCCATATTGCGATTTCGCTAATATTTCAATTAACTGTACAGCCTTAGTGCAAATGCAAACCTGTTTCTGATTTCTGTACAGAAATGGTAGTTTACATACTTTAAACATTCATTGTATATGTAACGTTTTTTTTAATCTACAAAGAGAAAGAGAAAATCAAACGAACTACTTATTTATATATTTACAAGCTTTAGAAACACCCAAATGCAGAGATCCAGACACAAAGAGTGAGAGAAAAGGTCAAATGTGCCCCACACGCCACACCTAACAACTGCCTTCGCACAGGGGCAAGAGGAGAAGGAGAGACCCCGGCACTGCTGCCAGAAGAGTCGTTGATTCTTTAATATCTTTAAATATATCTCTCCTCTTCCCCTGATGGTTTGAATTAGTCGCTAGATGCTACACAGAAACAAAGTCAGTAAGAGGGTCTGAAAAGTCGCTAAATGTAGAGTGAAAGTCATGAAGTTGGCGCCATTGACTATAATTATTCTGTGCAAGTGCAGAGGTCACGTAGTGTAGAGTTTGTGCCAGTGCCACCTCAGATTTTTTTCAAATTTGATCACTGAACAATAAAAATATAATAAGAATTTTGTTTGTAATAACTACAATTGTCCCAGTCGCTGTATCTTTCCCTAGGACAACAGGAAATTATTAATTTCAAGCGCTGAGACAGAGCTCTTACCAGTGTTGAGGTTGACACTGAAATTGAAATCATGGTTTGCTTCTTTCTGGACCGGGTCAATAAAATACTTGGCCCTTACCGGAACTGGGGGGCTCCAAGGCTTCCTGCTCCACATCCATCTGGTGGTAGTGGCGGATGCAGGCACGACTATCTATCTGGTAGAGCAGGGCAGGACACAGGTAGGTGAACTGGGTGGGGGAGATGAGCGATTCGGGATTCAAGCCGTAGTAGGTGAGGAGCTGTGTCAGGTTCAAACACTGGAAGGAGAAGGTGCAGTGTGAGGGTAACAAAGCACTGACCGTGTAGTCAGTGTGTCCTTAAAATATCAAATACTCAGCCCTGTAAACGTCACAACTTGTTTTGTGAAAACTAAACTGCTCATACTCTAACTGCTGTTCACCATTAAGCAAACAAACTAAAAAATACCTACAGCTTTAACCCTAAAGAATACTTTTTTGTAAAGTTATCACTTGTACAGTTTTATATTGTTTTTTTACACTTACAACACTGATTAATAAACCAAGCTGCTTCTTAAGCAAAGTTGAAGATTTTCTGGTGTTACGGTTGTAAGAACAACAAAATCCCTTTAAGGGATTTGTCAGAGTGCGTTAGGAAACACTTCAAATCTTCATTAATGACCACTGCTGTAGTAGTGGTAGTAGTAGCAACAAGAAAGACTCAACATTTCTATTCCACAATTCTGTGTATGCAAACAGTTAGCATGACAAAGAAAACACCATAGTGTAAAATCTAGGAAGATAGCCAAGATATTGTCAAGCATCATCAGCAGAACACTTGTTGCTTCATTTTACTTTCTATAATATGTTTTAGATGTTTTACTGATATCAGATAACTGTTGAATGTGTTCATATTGAGGTTTCTGAAATCAGCCAGTAACTTTAAACAAATCGTACCTCCTCATGCTGATGAGACAATCCTGCCGGATGGCCAGGCTGACCGGGGGCTGGCAAAGTGGGGTTGGGAGGGCCTCCTGGTGCTTCTCTCTTATCTTTATGAGAATGGCTGTGACCGTGACCGTGATCATGGTCGTGGTCATGGTCATGACTGTGTTCAGACTGATGGTCGTGGTCATCAGACATAGGTGTGAGAGGAGAAGTGGTTCTGTTTCGCCCTCTCTGTCCTCTTCCTCTAGCAGGCTTTCTTGGCTTCTTGGGCCGGCTTTCTGTGGTTGCGGGAGAGGACCTTGGCTCCTGAGGAACTTGGGTTGGCTCCAACTGGGGGGAGGGCTGCTGTTCCTGGTTGATGGGAGGCACTTCTGTCTGAACTTCATGGACATGGTTGTGGTCGTGACCACTGTGATCGTGATGTTCGTGATCACCGTGTTCGTGATCACCGTGTTCGTGATCATTGTGAGGTTGAGCAGAAAGGTCCTTGTGGTTAGAGTGCACCTGTACCTGCTCAGGTTTGTCATGTGCGTGATCATGGTCATGGTCGTGATCGTGATCATGTGTGTCCTGCACATGTCCATCAGAATGTTTATGGTCACTATCCTCTACCTTGGCATGATCATGATTATGCCCTGCATCATGCCCATGATCGTGGTCATGATCATGTTTATGGTCATGTCCTATAGATGCACCAGTAGCTGGACTGGCAGCAGTAGTCTGGTGGCTGCACCGTGTGGGAACTTGTTCTGTGTGTGGATGGGAGCCGGGCTTGTGGTGTGGATGACCATGCCCATGCCGGTGATCATGGCTGTGGTCTTCACTGGTGGCCGAATGGGAGTGAAGACCTTCCTGCATATCAAGCAGGTCAAGATGAGCTACGTGGTCATGGCCCAGATCCTCATGATCCACACCTACCACCTTCACTTCACCCAGACCCAAGCTGAACAGCAGACTCTGAAATCCCTGGAAATCTAGCCGGCCTTTCTGGCCGTAGCGCCTGAACAGCTGCTGGATGTAGAAGCGCTGCTCCTCCTCTAGAGAGTGCCCTTGAGGACTCTTTGACTCCGGGGCTGGACTGGCTCCTTTCACGTATGGAGCCTCAGAAATCTGCAGGTCACTGTGGGTGTGGTTGTGGTCGGCGTGGTGATGACCGCCGTGCTGATGGCTGTGCCCTTCTCCATGGCAGTGGTTGCACTGGTTGAAGAGGAAGGTGAACACACACAGGAAACAGAACTTGGTGTGCACGTGGACTCGCATTGTCCCCCTTACTTCTTGTCCCCTGCCAAAACAAGAAAGTAACAGTAATCAGAATCTCAATCACTTTTTTTCTAAAAATGAAATGTAGTGACATTGATCTTGGTGGGAATGAATGATTGAATATAGATCCTTTGATCAATTGTGCATCAATTGTAAGCAGCATGTATTACAATATATTTAAAATTATTAATTCATTGGTTATAAAATTACTGTTAGACAGAAAAACAATTATGAAAACTGCTTAAGCAACCAAGTAAACATCATTCTGACTGTTTTGACTGGCGAGTTCACGTTCCTGACACTTTCAAAACCTTTGAAGAATTACTGTTTTGGGGTTTTTTGGCTCTATTTGGGTATGAGCGGGGTATGAGTTTTGTGTCAGAGGCATTTGTGATTTAGTCTTGATGTCTCCTGTATAAATCAAATGTTTCTACGTCCTTAGTATCACAGTCACATTCTGAGAAGCTGCATCTTAATATATCTCCCTTTCTCAATATCTCCTCTTCTTCGTTATACTGTTTGCTGTTTTTAATCAGGTGTGTAAGACAAGTAAAATTTGCTCTGCTGCCAAGAATATCAGCTTACTGAGAGGTGGACGGAAACATCCCAATATTCCTATTTTTCTGATACTGATATATATATGTCAATGAACAAACATCACATAAAATAATTAAAATGATGTTCAATGCAAGGAATTATGTTCCAAAATTGATTTAGTTAGTTTTTAATTACTATTCGCTTGGAATTATAACTTTGGATTGTAGAATTTTGCAACATAAAAACACAAAAATTAAATCACCTCAATGAGATTCGACTTCCAAGTCAAGAAGCAACAATACTGAACGTGCCCCTAAGTTAAAATAAACAAGGCACAATTTCTGAATGAAACTGTATATTCTCACACTTTTAAAATTATTTATGGTAAACTCACAATTATAAGAGTAGCTTTTACGTGGACAAAAAAAAAAAGATTGTGAACAGGAACTACTGATATCAGATGAATCAATCCTGCTGTCATTAAATCAATGATCAATATTGGTCTTAAATGTCCAGTGTGTAACATTTAGGGGGATCTATCGGCAGGAATGGAATATAAAATTCACAGGTATGTTTTTAATCGTGTATAATCACCTGAATAGAGGAACTGTTATGTTTTCGTTACCTAAGAATTATCTACAGACGCCACAGGTTTCCTTCCAGTCCAACATGTTGAACCGCCATGTGTCTACAGTAGCCCAGAAAGGACAAACGAAACACTGGTTCTGGGGGCGCTTGTGTTTTTTGCAAGCACAATAAACTCTCTACTGAGGATTGTTTAACAAATAAAGTGTGTGTCCGATGATGCAAGGCGCACTGACATCATCTGTGTAAGTTTCATATGTATTATTAAAAAAAAAGAAGATTTTAATAAGCCTGAATGAGATAAATACTACAGCTTAGCTCTACCTTTAGTATAAAAAAAAATATTAAAAAAAAAAAAAAAGAACTCTAAAAAAAAAAAAAAAAATCTTTATAATAATTTTTTAAAAATTTTTTTTCTCCCCCCCCCCCCCCCCTAAAAAGCCTAAAGCAGCTCATCATCAGCAATATCATTCCAGTCAAATGATCCTCATAAGGTCTCTTGTGAAGCCTGTGGGTGGTTGATGTGTGAGGGGTGGGGGTGAGGCTGGGGTGGAGATGAGTAAAGAGAGGTCAGATGAGGAATCCTGGAGAATGGTAAGATGGCACACAGCAGAGACCAGTGTCTCTCTATCTCTTCTCTCTCTCTCACACACACACACACATTAACACACAGGCCTTTGGCAGTCAGCTTGTTAGCAAAGTTTGTACTAGATTTACAGCATGCACGTCATGAGGGAATAGATTTGTGTTGTGCAGACCACAGATAATGGTCTAAATGTTAAAAACAAAAGAGTTATAGATCCTCCGCACAGTAATAACAGAATGCACACTGTAGGCTTGTGGGTGAAACAACAACAAAAAACTTCATTGATTTCTTTCTGGATACACACAGAAGAAGCAAGAAATTGCAAAACACAAACTCAGGAGAAGACAGAAAATGAATCAAAGATCACTTAAATGATATCACACAAGAGCCTCATTTTAAAACAGAACATACTGGTGATTGACATTAAATGCGCTGCTGCTACTCTGGTAGGTTGTTGCTGTTTTCACACTTTACCATAAAACAATCTTAAATGATTGATCCAACAACCCCTAACTATACAAAAAATGTTTTACAGACAACACAAAAGCCCTAAAACAAAGCCCTTGTTTATTCTTTAAAGCCTTAATCATTGCTCAGACGACATCATCAGCTTATCAGCTAATGACTTGTTATGGACTTCCTTCTCCCCACGTAACAAGATTAAGAACTTGTGTAGTAGTATTTCATATCAGTATTTTAAAGTAAGCACTTCATGTAATTTGGTATAGAGATTTTTTGTCAAAGTGTAGTGAAGAATTATTGCTGTCACAGAAATTTCTACGACCAACTACAGTTCACAAACAACCAAAATAAAACCAACTTTTAGAATGAGTCATCCAGATGATAAAAACATATGGCGCAATTCAACACCATCATACATTTCAAAATCCATGCCAAATAAAATCAGTTCCTCAACACTGACTTCCTTCTCGTACTTTAGAAAATGGAAGCAAGTCTACTTACCACTGTGTGCCCCTTGAATGAGTAGTGTGTGAAATTTAGTCTGGCCAAGGAGTGACTGATGGCGTACTGACTCAAGCAGCAGACCTAAGTGTGGTTACAAGCCTACTTCATGGCGGTCGACAAGACAGTATTTATAAACATGAGACAGCAGTGACCTATGAACCTTGCAGCAGATAGGTTGGGGCAAAAGCAGGACCTTTTTTAAGAGCACACCCTCTTAACAACAACAAAGCCTGCTGTGTTTTCCTGATTAGAGTCTTTATTGTGCTTCTTCTTTGAGGGAAACAAGAGAGAGTTTAATTGCGTGTTACACAAACCCAAATCTAAAAAGTAAGCATTACAAATCCATTTTAAGTGTACCCAGATTTTTTTTTCTGTGGATTAAGATTATTATCTTATTTTTGGCAAACATTCGCAACAACACTGAAATAATAATGCAGGAAACAGCAAATGTTTCAGTCACAATATGTTTCAGCTCAAGACAAGTAAATCATTAAATTATTGTACTGTGAAATACATTCACTCGGTAACTCACTGTAATTGGTGTCCTCCTGCTTGGCCCCCAGTCCTGATGCTACTCTTTGAGGGGGGTTTTCCAACTCTTCTGAAACGTGCACTCTGGAAAAAATATTAAAAGGAGACACATGGGTGAAATTCAGGCTTATCTTTACACATTTTTTTTACCTCAAGCCGACAAAAAAATTCCACTTATGCAACAAAGGTTATCTGAAGCAGTGCTCATGTTGTCACAAGAGGACAATTTCTTTGTCAGCAGCTAAAGAATTAAAAATCTGTCTTCCCAGGCAGATCGTGGCAATTATAATATATGTATTAGTGTAGTATATACTTAATACTTTCAAAGTATTTAATTTTAATTTGACTTTAATTACAAATTGACACTTTAGACTTGTAATTGGCCGAGCAAATGCCCTAATTTCGCGCCTGTGGACTGATTTCTGTGTCAAGATTCCAGCAAAAACTTTCCGCAAAAATCAGAAGAATGTGACGTTTATGCGTGCTCCCGAATGCCTTCTGATTCAGCTTTTCTACAGCTTCAACGGTAAGCAACACTAGCAAAGATGAGCTTATAAATGTCTACAAACAACCCACACTTACCACAACAAAGAGTCCAACACGAAGCCCAGGTGAAACATAAAAAATTCTATTTATCTGCTTCAGGGTCCTGGTATTGTTGGCTCACTGTCAGCCTATAATGACTTACTAACACTTAGATAGAATACATTACTGCTACTATTATCACTTGTGCTTGTCCTACTGTGACAAAGCAAAATCTCCGCTTTGAAAAAAGGCCTATTTCAGACCACAAAGTTTTCAAAGATATTATATATGTCTATAATTGTGAGGCCACCACACTGGGACTGTGAGAGTGCCACTTTAAAAACACAGCAGCTTTGTTTTTAAGGATTTTTTAAAATGAAATGTTGAAATGAGAACATACATGTTAAGTGTGGAAACGTTTTCGTCTAACTTTGGGACACATTCATGGGTACATTGGCGTGTAGGAGGTTTATATATATAATTTTGTCTGATTCATACACACAATGTTTCCTCGAAGAGCGTACTGTACTGCACTGTTTTTACTACCCAGCAGCCATCCTGAAAAGAAAATTATAAATGTCTTTAAGTAGTATAGAAACCGCTCCTTTTGATATAGGGCCAGTGGGGAAGAAAATGCACCTCAATGGTACTATGACAGAACCTCTGCCAGAACCTCTGCTAGAACCTCGGCCAGAGGTTACAGCTAACAAATGGGCATAAATATCAAAATAATTTGTAGTAACCAAGTTGACTATCTGTACAACTTAATTTTAAAATCTTCTTTCTGTCACTTCTGAAACCTTTTTCTATACATTACTTACTCAAATTTGACCCCATTTCAAGGTTGTTGACAACAGGAAACTTGTTATTTCTTTCATGGGGAAAAAAAAATCTGACTTTGGCCCTTAAGCCGTTTCATATGATTCTCACGCGACCATACACATCCTCCTCTTCTCAGTATCAAGCCAGAGGGAAAATGAAAACTGGAAATGCATATGCATAAAAATGTCTTCTGGTATTGAACAAAAACACATTTGCCATTTTATTAATAAGTAGAATACTTAAGTCTTTTGTGTTTGCCACTGATCCTGATCTCTATTTTTCTTACAAAATACAACAAACGGAGCACTTTCAGTCAGTTTAAGCAGCAGACCTGCATTAAAATGCAACGCCAATGATTTTTGCATTAACAAAAATATAACCTGTATAACGGCTTTATTTCAATGGTTTCTTACAATATTTTGTATTATGTCCACTCGTGTTTTGAATAATGTTCTTGTTGCAAAAGGAAGGTTTTAAACAAATAAAGGCAACCATTTGTTGTTGAAGCAAGACGATAAATATATACAGAAACGTGTCAGAATGGAGTTTTTTTTCTTTTAGTAGGGCCTGAGGTGTGCAAGAGAGGCCAGATGTCAGATGCCACATGGGTCCAACTCAACAACAGATGGTCTGTAGGAATCTTAAAGGATCTTCTGTTGTATCATTACATTTCGGAAAGTAAAAGAGAGCTGAGGCAAGGGATGGTAATCAATACGGAACCGGTTCCAAATCGTCTGATCAATCGGAATCAAATGTTTTCGAGCGGTTCCTCTCCTATCAATGCCAGAAAGTTTTTTTTCTCACATTTGCGGACTGCAAAATCATGATGTCAAATTCATACGTCAACACTACTGGAAACTTGCAACAAGAATGAGTCATGGTGGAGAGGAAGACATGGTTCAAAGCGTGACTTCATTTCACAAAGAAACTCAAACAAATTCAGACTCAGAGATAATAAAACAGTTGTGTTGACTTTCTTCCCCACACAGAAGACTGATCAGGAATCAATAATGGCATTGGTATCAATAAAATCTTAATATTTGCCATCCCCTAGATGAGTCACCATACTATAAACTACATATCTCTGCTGACAAACACTGAACACAGCTGGAGAAATAATAGACTGTCAACTGTTTTCAGCAACACTCGGAGACAGAATGTGAAATCATTACAGATTAGCTCAACTATCCAAAAGACATACTGGTTAATGTCATTACATGGAAAACACCCAACTAATGGTGCATGCACAGTAGTAATTTGGGCAGCTCAAACCAGCAATCCTATGACCAAGAGTAGCTATTCTGTGAAATGTGTCATAAATTGTGTGGTAGGTCTCCTGTAAATCTCCTGACTCAAGCACCTGGCATATTCACAGCGATGAAGAAAACCTTTTAACAGCCAGCCTGATAACAGCACTCATTACAGCAGACTCAGCAGAGGTGCTAGGCGAAGACACAAATAAGTTTCAGTACCAGTTGATCCCAGCACACTTGTAATCAAATTAATATGAAGAAAAATTAATGACCAAGAATAGTCAAACCCCTTTTAAACTAATTTCTGGCTTCTCCGAACAGCTTTAAACGCCCATGTGATTATCTAAAGTCGGCTCTGCGAGTAAAACAAATACCTGTATATCGTTTCAGCAAATACCCCCGAATCCCTTTGTGGTGTGAATTTTGGCTGTGGGCTAGCATGACACTCCGCAGGTTTAAAATAAAACCAATGTTAACAAGCCACCGCTTCCAAGAACTTCTCATGGAGTCAAACGACAACAAATACCACATGTTCAGGTTTTGCAGGTTGAAGCCAATGAGTCATTTAGACAACGTTGTTGACAAAAGAGGCTGTATATAGTCCTGAATTCCTCCAGTTGAATCAAGGAGCTGCATTGCGAAACAGCGAGAGGTGACTGCGGCAAGGCGCAGGTGCATTGCTGATGCTCTGTGGCCTGGAAGCATGTTCATCATAGTGTAAAAGAGTCTAAGACTGAAAGGCGAGATACAGACAAGTAAACAGAACAATCAGCTAGAACAGTGCACTGTGCAGATGTCAAAGAAATAACACCTTGGCAAAACACAGAGAGAGAGAGAGAGAGAGAGAGAGAGAGAGAGAGACTTACCTCTGATCACAAATAATAGCCAGAAAGGCCAGGAAGTCACTCCATACAAACACAAAATGTTCACGCCAGCACCAACATGAGTAACAGGTTGAGTCTTTTTAGGTTTTTGAGTCCGGTGACTTAACTAATTTGTACAAGTAGGAGGGGAGGCACAGGGAGGGTGGGTGTGTGTGTGTGTGTGTGTGTGTGTGTGTGTGTGTGTGTGTGTGTCTGTGTGTGTGGGCAGTTAGGGAGCTGTGGATCAACCACCTGACCAGACACTTATGGTGTATGTGTGGGGCTATAACTTATAAGTGCTACTGGTAGGATATTCTGCCCACCTTAGTATTTTGTTTTGGATGTATCGATTGGATCAGGAACTTGAAAATATGTAAAAAAAAAAAAAATAAAAAAAAAATATCCAAATGTGGAATGTCCTTTAAAAAAACCCATCCTCGTTAAATTTGCAGAAGCACTGATGTGGACTGACCCGTGCATGGTCCTGCAGGCTTAGCCTGAGTTACAGTACAGAGGTACAGTATGTGCTCTCTCTAGGTTATGGCTTAAACGTTGGTGGCAAGGATACATGTGAACACTAAGCTGACACCAAATCTAGACGGTGCTCTAGCTGAAAGCTGTTATTCAACAAGAAGTTGCAACTTATTGGCGCTTATCAACAAAGTCCAAGAGGAACAAGGCTGAGGTCAGAACGGATGTATTGGTTAAAAAATGTTAGCTGGCATGATTTAAAAATGCTGTGTCTGCATAAAAGACTGTATCATAAACAGCAGGAGTGTGGGAATGGTGATACATGTGCAGCAGACGGTGGACATTGTGAGCACTTAAACAAATAGACTTATGTTTACAAAACCCTTATTAGAAACCTGCAGTAGCTGGCAGCAATAGTGACTTTCAGAGAGGGTTTGTACTGCAAGGTATCAAGGTTGGGTTGGCAACTGTAACTGTTATGAATGTTTTAAGGGAAGATAAAGTGGATCTCTAATCTGGAACCTATTTTCAACAGTCCTCCTGAAGACACCGGACCAAGAGACAAACGCACACAAAGAAGCAATTTAGCTCAACAAAAGATGCAGTTAGTGTAAATGTTGAATGAGGCCCAAACACTTTGAGGCTTAAACGATGTTACACTCCTTTTTACTGATCTTCCATCATTCTTCTTCCTATTTTTTATCACAGTTCAGGATTCAAAATGGTTTTCAGCTCGCTGGGGCATTTTACTTGCTCTGGGCAAGAGGACAATCCTCATTGTTGAGCCCTTGCGCCGCGTACTGTATGCGACTTTGAGACAAGACTAAGTTTGTAGTCCATGCCTGAAATGGTGGTTATATTTTTAGTATGATGAACAAAAACTCCCATCAGCGTTTAGACTGTAATATCAGCGGAGAAATCGCCAAAGGACATTTTTAGCTAATTATATTGTAGTACAAATCTTACATAGAGGCTGTAAATAATATTTATGTACAAAAACATCACCCACAGCAATTTGAGAGTCATTTAGGGTTTGTTTAATCATATTAGAGGGTGAGAGGTCATGTTTAGCATCATTGTGGCTCAGTATTATGCCCTTACTACTACTGTAAGCTTTGTCCTTTGAAACAACAGAAACTTCATGCATACT